AAGGCTGTTGGGTGATCTTTTAAAAGTGTGCTGTTTTTAGTATAACAATAAAGAAACAAGCAACTTTTTTCTAAGGTTTGTATTCCAAATTTCACAACTAGGCTGAAATTCTCATGGTCCTTTCTCCATATGCAGAGAGTCCTTGAGTGTATATGACTGTTTGATGAGGACTAGTGAACTAGAAATCAAGATCTTTGTAATCTCTTAATTCTATCATTTAAAATGATGCCAATTTGATAGAATGGCATTCTCATTTGCTTCATTTTCTTCATTTGCAAAATTACTTTATGATAGTGGAAGGAAGCTGCATTTGAAGGATGTTTATTATGTGCTTTGAGATCATTAAAGCTGATATCACTTTGCATACCAAGTGGCAGTGTTCATATTCTTAATATACTAAAGTTCCAATACAATCAACCTTTAACAAATAACATATCATGACCAACAGTTTATGCATAATTTCATGATGTAAATGTGTCTTCAGTAATTACTCCATCCTCTGAAATCTTGACGTGAGTCTTGTCTGTGCCACTCACATTGGGACTTTTATATAGGCCATTTTCTGTTGTTGTTTATCTTTTGTTATTTATACATATGTCCTATTTATCCAAACAGATTGTGAGCTCTTGAGGGTGGGGGCTGTGTATCCCTAGCTTCTATCAATATGCCTTACATTTTGTGGATGTTCAATTAGTTCTCCTTGATAGTTAGGACAATGTTTGGTCAGAAACACATCCTCACAGTCTCCTAAACAAATAATTATTTGTGGGATTGATTCTACAATAGGAAGAATGCTACTATGAAAGAGGGGAACACATATTGCTCATTATCTCTTGCATCTCTGATAGTCTCTCAATATGCATTTGAGGCCAACTGGAACAGAATAGCCAACAATATTTAACCACCAAATATGTTTTACTGATATCTATCTATAGTATACAGTTGTCCATTGGTCATTATTGAATTTATTTGATTATTATTTATAAAAGATTGTCAATAACTAAATTAAAATGTCTTACAATGTTAACTTTATGAACCTATAAATAGTTTTAATTTGATTTTTAGTTTTTAATTTTTCCAATTCTAAACAATAAATTCAATTATTCTTATAGTCAGAAAAAAATGTGAAGTTCTAGAAAAGATTTTTTCTATTCTGCTAAGTCAAAGTATTAAAATTTTAATAGCATAAATACCATTCTACATATTACTTTCTTATTTAAATTAAAATCTAACATGGCTGGGTGGCTCACTTGGTTGGAGGGTCATGGGTTCGATTCCCAGTCAGGGCACATACCCAGGTTGCTGGTTCAATTCCCAATCTGGGAGTGTACAGGAGACAACTGATCAATGTCTCGCATCGATGTTTCTCTCTCTCTCCCCCTCTCTCTTCCTCTGTCACTAAAATAAATATAAGAGTATCCTCAGGTGAGGAAAAGAAAATCTAACATAGGAAAGACTAATTGCCAGAACCATATTGGCAAGGGTGACAGCTAATTGACAATATTCAATAAACATAAATGTTACTTGTTAAAACTCCTTTAAGGCATTTTCAATTAATACAATAATGTTACATTTGTTAATGAAAGCCTAAAAAACTATTTTTTTCTCCTGTCTTCTCAGTGCAGTTTGGAGGTGGGTTATTCCTCCTCCATCTTCTGAGGAACCACGCCAGGACACAGACCGCGGTTCTTAGCACAAGGGAAAACTATTGTCGAATTAATACCAAAAAGACTTAAGGAATGTGTTTGTTAGACATTTTTCCGGTGAACATGCTTGTATAATTTCCTAAGCATACATTTGTTATGAGCAAGAATTCAGATGGATCATTCTTTTAGTGTGAAAATGTTTGGGGCAAATTTCCCCAGACAGGTATTTAAAGATAGCTATTATTACAATTAGCATATTTCATTAAGATTGCTTTGGTGCCAAGATATATCCTTTACAAATTGGACTTGGTGGAGAAAAAGGGTTTAAAGAGATATTTGTCTAAAAGCTTTTAAGCAAAATGGAAACCAGTAGCTCTTGCCTAAACTTATTATATTTCCTGTAAAGTTTTTATCCTCTTCACTCCAGGATCTGTCACTTAAGCAAAACATGTTATTAAAAGAATGCATTAGTATGGCTTAATATCAAATAGTTTATGTCTGTTATTAGTTCTACATCATTTTGATTGTCATCAGGGGTTGTTCAATCAAAAGGTGCAGTCAAAACTAACATTCTTTACTGATGTCTTTTTTCCCCCAAGAGTGTTGAAAAATTGATTGTTCAAAGTTCTGATATGATTAAGAAAATCATTTATCAGAAAACTTAAAGAGGTAATGTAAAAAAGTGGATGGAGAACCTGAATTAAGTGGGTTTTGCCAGTCAAAGACTTTGAAACTGCTTTCCTGTGAGTGACTGGGATGGAACAGAACAGTCAATTACTGACTGTAATTAAGAAGTGGATGCTTTTAAACTGTAGAGAGCAGTAGCAGACTTCTCCAGACTGTCTAGTAACTCAAAAGATCAGTGGAAGACAGTAGGAAGGAAGTGAACTGTATCTCTCTGACAGTATGTTTTGAATAAATTGCATTCATATAGTTCTGATCTAGCTTCACAAAATGAATTAATAAATCAATGATTATGTATGATTAATGCAGTAAAATGTTTGGACAAAGAAACCTTTAAAATTCATTTTTGCTTGTGGTTGTTTTAGCAGTAAAAGATCTCCTTTCCATTATATAAAATGCACCAAAAATGCAAATGCCCTGCTTAGTACTTATATTTTATCACTGTTTGAACTTACTAGCCTGGAAACTGAACTATATTGGCCCTTTCTGAAACCTTCAGGATGCAGGAAATCTAATTATATTCCTTTTTATAATTTCAATAATGGTTTATTTATAACGGCAGGGAAATATATTGTAGATTATGTTTGGGCTAATGTATTTTTCTTTTTGTATGCTAACAAATTGTGATATGATATAACACATACATAATCAAAATATTTTACATGTAGATTCGGAATTAAGGTAGAGGCCGAGGACATTACTAGTTTTCTTGGGTTAGTTAGAAGTGACCTTATATTTTTAGATTACTATTTCTGTGGAAAGATTTTATAAAGTAAACATTTGGGATTTTATGCAAGTAAAGAACATTGCAAGGGTGTTTAGATAATTAGGCAAACATCAGCTTAACTGTGTTTTACTAGATACGTAAAACAAGACTAGCCTGGCCAGTGTGGCTGAGCGGTTGAGCATCAACCTATGAACCAGGAGGTCATGATTCTATTCCCAGTCAGGGTACATGCCCAGATTGCAGGCTTGATCCCCAGTGTGGGGTGTGCAGGAGGCAGCCAATCAATGATTCTCATCATTGATGTTTCTATTTCTCTCTTCTTCTCCCTTCCTCTCTGAAATCAATAAAAATATGTTAAAACAAACAAACAAAATTTATTTAAAAACAACAACCAGAAAAAAACCCAGATCATTTGGGGGCTGTTTTGAGCCATCCCAAATCTTACATGCAATTTTACTTTAAACAATAAATAGAGTGATTGGCCCTGATGATCTGTCAAGTCTAGTGTGGGTAATTAATTTATTCTTATTTTCTAAACTTTGATTTTTCATAATTGCATATAGTTTGGGTAGTTCCTCTCTCCTTACAGTTGTGAAATGTTAGAATCCATCTCCCTTAAGAATGGTTTTATTTCAGTACTGAGTGATGTTGCATCTCTATATAGTTTTTCTAAAAATAAATGACAAATGAATATTTATGTATGTGTATAATCGAAGATTACTTTAACACTCTGGGACCATTGTTATTAAATGTTGCCATAAGAATCACTGAAACCTTCAGAGTGAGCTATTCGGGGTAATAATTGTCACTTTAATGATAGAATTATGGAGACAGCCTGAAGCATGATTTGTGATTTCCTGAACCTGTGCCACACTGCAGTGTTCACCTCCTATTTAGAGCAAGTCAGGCTGAGGAGAGGTGACTAGCTCCTGATTCAGGATGTTGAAATGTCAGTCCTCTAAACTTCTGAAGCCTCGCTTGATGTGTGACAGCAGCCGGGAAATGTTCATCTTCCTGTTGAAACAAAAAGTCAATAAAACAAAGGGAAAATCTGCACAGTTCAGATTGATGGCCTAATGCAGAAAGCGTGCCCACAACCACTCTAATCCAATTCTTCTCTAAGTAGCCCTTTATGTGTGAAATCAAGAGCATTGCTCTGTTCCTATAGGGTCCCATCCTCTCTCTCACAGTTCTTGGGAGAAAAAGATTCGCTGAAATGAAAAACACATAGTTACATGCTAAATATTGCCAACTATTTAACAGCCCAGAGAGTCTGGAACGGGAATGTTCATTTGATAAATACTCTCCATGAGAGGTTCAAGTATGTAAATAAACTTCTATTTCTAATACACTCCTGTGGTGGGGAAATTGGTCCTTTATTAATTTCTGATAGGTCTTTATGTTAGGAAAGTAGAAATATCCAAATGTTATTCATTTGAATGACCTTTTAGAAAAGTCTGCATTTAGTCTCTTTGGTAAGTAATCTGTTTTAGAGCCCTCTATAAAAGGAAATCAAATGTAGAGATACTATTAGATTTTAAAAAGACAAACAGGAAAGAGCCAAAAGTGCAGAATGAATTCTGACACACCCGGGTACATTTTTCTGAGGCTCTGACTTAAGTGGATACTGTCTGCATTATTCTGAACTTCCTGGCTTGCTTCTCCTTGAGTTGGAGTAATTCAGCTTTAGAACTACTCTGAGTTAATCGTTCTATTATGAAAACAATAATGTATTTGTTATGACATGAAAAAACAGTTTATAGTGAGCAATTCAAAATGATACTTGTCTCCCAGTTCCCAGAAAGACAATTACTGGAATACAAGAAAATATTTCAGTGTATTGAAGTGTGTGTTTTTTGTTTAAAAAAGGATATATATTTTTTAAACTGTAAGAGATCTATTTTATTTGCTTTGCTTACCTGTCAATTTTTTTCTTTTTTCAGATCACAACAGCATCAGGAAATGAGTTCCTTCTACAGTCAGATATTGACTTCATCATATTGGATTGGTTCCACGCTATCAAAAATGCAATTGACAGATTGGTATGTATTTGTTTTGGCTGTTACCTTTATTAATTAAAACGTAGTCATTTAAATCTTATCGCGTAGGCATATAACACACACATTTAAGTGGATCCTATGGATTGAGAGATATTAAATTATTTTAAGTTTAAACAGAGTCCACTAAAAACATTTCAGCAAACAGGATTTGTGGATATAAATTTCACTGAATTTCATTCTTTCAAAAATACAGGGCATTCATATATTTTTAATAAAATAACATGGACATTCATCTACTGGAGGCTGTAAAAAGCACACAAGTGCTTAATAACTACTGAATTTTTACATTTTCAGTTAATGCAGTCTGTATTGAAGCCCATATCACTGTTCTAATACCAGTAAATAATAATCCTGAGTACTGATTTTCATTGTTCTTTCAATTAAGCTAGATTGTTCTTTTCATGAAAATTACATATCTAGAACTTCCTAAATCACACATTCAGAGTATGTTTTTAAAAGAGTCAAATTAGCCCTAGCTGGTTTGGCTCAGTGGATAGAGTGTCAGTCTGTGGACTGAAGGGTCCCACGTTCGATTCCAGTCAAGGGCACATGCCTGGGTTGCGGGCTTGACCCCAGTAGGGGGTGTGCAGGAGACAGCCTGTCAGTTATTCTCTCTCATCATTGATGTTTCTCTCTCTCTCTCCTTCCCCCTTCCTCTCTGAAATCAATAAAGAAATATATTTAAAAATAAATAAAAAGAGTCAAATTATTTAAAATTACTCATTTTATACTAATTCTAGACCAAACATCTAATTTTAGGACACTAATATTTGCAAAATCTTGAGGAAGAAATATTTTTGAGAGCTTTTAATAAGGTATAAAAGAGGAAAATACATTTTCTGTGTGGTGTTTTTGCTCATTAAGCTCTGTCTCCCATTATATGATTTTGATTTCGGACTAAAACTTTAAAATATAAATTAACAAAATGACTTTTCTCCATCTCTAATATATGTTCTTTTCCAGTCAGGTGTGAGTGCTTGTCTCCCCCCCCCACACACACACACACATACACATACGTGCACTCATGCACAAGCACATACACACACACTCGCACATAGTTTGTCATTATGGGAGGACTCAGGAGTCATGCTGCATGAGTTTGAATCCTGGTTCTATCATTTACTAGCTGTGTGGCCTTGGACAAATTATTTATCTCTTTTGGCTTCAGTTTCCTTGTCTGGAAAGTAAGAATAATAATAAGAATACCTACCTCATAGGATTGCTGTGATGAATAATTGAGTTAATGCATGTGGAGTGCTTAGGGTAATGCACAGGATTTAGTAAGCACCATATGTATAACTGCTATAAATTTAAATGTTAAGCTTGGCTCTAGAGGGCCCTATCCCAAAAATAATTATCTTATTTTAAACATCCTTTTAAATTTAACATCAAAATAGATCCCCAAATTATTTTTTAATTCTTTCTTCCTTTTAAATTTGTTCTGGCTAATTGTTTGGTGTTTCTAGCCAAAGGATCCAAGCACTCCATCAAGAAACCTGGAATTATTCAAAATCCAGAGATCCTCCAGTACTGACTTGCTAAGTCATTACGATAATGATATAAAAGAACAGAAACCAGAGCACAGAAAATCTTTAAGTAAGTATTTTTCTAACTTGCTCATGTTAACTTAGTCAAAATGCAATGCGTATGAAATATAAATGCATTAAAATGAGCCAAACTCATACTACCCATGACAGATGCGTGGCCATTTCCTGGCCAGGGATCCGTGCACGGGAGGGCAGTCTGGACATTTTGCTCACATCATTGTTGGTAATGCCTTTTCAGAAAATAATTGTTCCAAGGTCCCTGTCTTCACTTAGCCCAATACCTGAATCTCTGAGAAATAGCCACTGTATTCAGATTGGTGATTGATTTTAAGAGTGGGAAATGTCAAGGGTCTTCAAACCTTGGTACGCTGACTATTTGATTTCCATCCAGTAAAAGATGTATGAGCGACCAATCACAGTTGGCCTAACTTAAACCAACAAACTGCAACTTTCTACACTTTCAGACCACCAGAAAGATTTAGAAATATGGAATGTGAAGTAGATGTTCTCTAAGGTCACATGTAGTTCTAATATTCTAAAAGAAATGAACTTGGAATTAAAAGGTCCAATCTCACCACTTATATCCTGATCTTGAGTACATCTCTTAATTTTTCCCAACTTGCTTCTTCCTCAATAAAAGGGGTTTTTTGAAAGGTTTCAGGTACACTTATCTCATAGAGTTGATTTCAGTCTCAACCTCCTAAAAGAAGAAGTAGATATCTTTGGAATTAGAGAAAACCAATTTCCCAAAGTCTTAAAAACTATAGTACCTTCCCTGGATCATCCACTGGGCCACCTCAATCTTCTGATACACCATTTTTCTGCCTTTTCTTCTCACCAAAGTGTAGTGTAGTTACATCCCAACCTTTTGAATTTAGGGAGAATTCAGTAATAGAGAAGGGATGCTAACAATATCTAGATATGTACCAGATGTGTGTGTGTGTGTGTGTGTGTGTGTGCGCATTAAAGACTATATATATATATTCAAGAAAGAGGAAAGTTATGTATATGTAATAACATATCTTCCAAAGCTAAATAATTAGGAGCCTAAAATACAGTGGGGCCTTGACTTACGAGTTTAATTCGTTCCGTGACGGAGCTCGTAACTCAAATTACTCGTATGTCAAATCAAGAAGTGAACGAGTGAGACACGTGATGCTGGGCTGATGTTGTGGCATTCACTGTGACGTTCGCTGTGCCAACTAGTGGTGGGGTATCTAAAGCTGGCTCATAACCCGAATTTTAGCTCACAACTCAAAGCAAAAAATCGGCCTAGAGACAGCTCGTATCTCGAAAAACTCGTTAGTCCGGACACTCATAAGTCAAGGCCCCACTGTATAGAAATAGCATGACAATTTCAAGTAGATTCACACTTACAAAATTAAGTCATTATTTTAAGAACTGAACCATAATTTCACCAACTTCTAGATACATATTTAGTTAGCTAGCTGGGTTAAGTTAGAGTTTAACATGATCAGTGTTAATGTCCTGAACTTCATATTGCTTTGCAAATATGTTGTGGAGAGTTAGCAATTCAATTTAAAAAGATTCTTCTATATGATGGTACAGTTTGGAGTTATCTTATTTGAACATTTCCCTTTAACTTCTGGTAACTGTCCCCTTTTACTTCATATGGGATCAGATAAGGTAATGTTTTATAGTTAAAATTAAATTGTGAGTATATAATGTTAATTATATAACCATTTTGAAGTATATATAAAGGACGTATGAGGATATTATCAGTAGATCTGGAATCTCAGATATAATTGCTGCTTTAGAGGAAACCTTGACACATTTCTAAAGCTTGGAGCTCTGGAAAAAATGAAGATTTGTAAAATTGTGTTTGAGAAACATTGAGGCAAATGGATTCTTTGTTCATTAATAGTCACCTGAAATGTTTTAAGATGATACTAGGGGCAGGGGGGGTTTCCTACAGACAGATTACCACCTACTCCTCTTTAGAATTTATTTTTAATTGAGAGACACATTTATGTGTTTATTGGCAAGAGACACATATGATTTACTCTATTCGATTCAAAATGTACCTAAATGTATAATGACCTTCAATTCATCATTTCCTTTGCAGTTCAAAAATCATGATAGCTAGGACATATTGAGCACTTAGTGTTCATCAAGCATTGTTCTAAGTGTTGTCTTATACTGACTTAATCATCTCACTAACCCAATGAAGTAGGTATTGTTATTAATCCTACTTTATAGCTGAGGAAGCTGACGCACAGAGAATTAAGACAACTTATACAAAAAACAAGCTATGTAGACAATTTTCAAAGTTAAGCAATCTGATATTAGAGGCTATGATTTTAACCATTACACTACATTGAAGAGAATAAATAAAAGGTAAATTTAGTTTATCAACCTTTGACTTAATGGAAATAGTATATTAAAATAGGATCCATAGAGATCAGTAAACTTAAACAGGGACCAAAAAACACATTAGCAAAAGAATTGAAACCAGATGTTTCCTTTGGACTTCGATTTTACTATTAAAATAAAAGGGTCATTTACTCATTAATGCTAGCCCTAATTTTAATGCTCCTTTTCTTTGTTTTGGTGGCTATTTATAGTTGTAAGCCTTCGTTAGGGCTAGCATATTTCTTGGAACGTAGGATGAGGTTAATAGCTACCTATTACTTTGAATTAAGTTTATTCAGTATTTATGTATTCATTTTCATTTGAAAAGCATAATGATTGACCCACCCACACAGTATCAAATCAGACTATGCATTTGAAATAGTGATTAGCATGTTTTATATTAGTGTTTTTTGTATATTTTTTTCAAGTAGGAAATATGCTGTGTGAAACTCCTCTGATCTCAGTCCTAGATTTGAACACCCAAACTTAGGTTTTTAAAACATGCATTCTGTTTTATGTCACCCTTTTGAGATTAAATAATTATGTAGAATTAGAGATTCACACTATCTCCTTCCTTATTAGTAGTCTAAGCACAAACTTCATTGTCAGTTTGCTGCCTTTGGCTTCCTGTGCCCTTGATGTTCCCACGAGTTTTGTTGCCAAGATTGTAGACAGATAAAGCCAGAATTACTTTCTTAAAGGCATGTGAGCATCATTAGCAGCTAACAGGTGGTCATTTAATTGTCCAGTTTCCCTGTAGAACATGGGAAAAAATAGGCACTCTCAATGCGTGAATTCAGAAAGTTAAGTGCTTAAATATACTTTCCTTTTTAAAATATGATTCTAACCTGCCAACACTATTAAGTACTAATCACATATTTTAAGATATCAGTTGAGTCTAACAGACAAGAAGCCGGAAAATTCAATGTAAGGGCCAAATCACTGTGGGAAATTCAAGACACCAGCATGGGATGAGAGTGGGAGAGCAGCTCTCCAGGGATGGCTGTTATGGAAAGTGGAGAGTCGATCAAAGAAAATGCTAACATCTTTTTCCAAGTCTTCCACTGATGGCAAAGAGGAAGTCTCAAATATAAAGCCTGCATTAGATAACCTTGGAGAGTTTTCATAACTTTTCTGGGCTTCACTGCCTAGATCTATAAAAATGGGTTTAATACTGTCCTTGCAGGATCATGTGAGAATTTGAAATTAGATATGTAAATACTTAGCTCACAGCAGGCACTCAATAAGTAAAAGCTCTTATTATTATCCTCTATGTCCCCAAGCAGATGGCACCAAAATAGGGCATGAGCCAAGGGTGGTGCCTGATGGAAGATTGGAGCAGGGCATATATACTTGACATCCTCTCCCTGAGTGTAGAGAAAATAGGGGAAAGGAGCCAGGACTGGAAATGGGAGCCATAGCTGCAAAAATCTAAATATGAGCAGCTGGTCTTTCCCCTGGCGACTCCCCAGGTGAAAATGGCAGCCAGGGCATTCTTGGGAGCAGCACACCAGGAAATAGAAGGGAGCCAAGAGATACTCTTGATTCTTTTATACCCAGAAGAGCATGTCATTTAAGAAGTTCCAGTTGATGGAAACGATTCAGCATCTAGCCATTTCACTGTTTCTTTACACATAGCTGTATTTTATTTATTTTCATTAATAGATATACCTGAAGATGCACAACAATTTTTTTATTTCACTCACATGTGCTTTTATTTATTTTTTAAAAACGTGTTTGTATTACTTTATGCTTTAAGGGTACTATACCTCATGTTAATCAATTTCTAAACTGTAAAGATTACTTTTATATAAAATCAACATTTTAGCATTATAAATAAGCATCCCAAAATGAATATGAGTTAGAAGAATAACATCAAAAGTCAAGAGAACTAAAAGAAAATGAGTTTTCTCTTCTCCACCTTTTTATTACATTATCATAAAAAAACACAAATGTGTTCTGGGTGAAATCCTAAAAGTATTTAGATATGGATTTCCAATTTGATAACCCCTTAGTAATGTGTGTAATCAGGGTATATGTACCAGACTGCACGGTAAAGATAGAAATGGAAAAATTTGTTTGAGATATTTATACAATGTAGAAAATAAAAACACTTGTGAATCTTTAATGATATCTTTGTTTAAAAATGTGCCTGCAAAGAAATTATGGTCATGCCAAGTGAAAATAAGTTTGCTTGAAAAAGCAGTTAATTTTTGTACTAGTCTAAATAATGATAATACTGGTCATCCATAACTCCAAGTAGACTATGTTCTCAAAATCCAATTGTAAACTGGTTGCTCAAACCTCAACATATTTTCAGAAGGAAACCATGTACAAGCCACAAAAGCGCACTTGAACCTTATGCAATCATTTTGAATGTTGTTTCCGGGGAACAGCTCATTCTGAGTTTGTTGCCCCGCTGACCCTAGGAGCTAAGCCCTCCCAGTAGCATTGCTTTCCATCTGGTTTTCTTTTCTTTCTCCCCTACTCCTGCATCAGCTCCACCAAAGCAATTAAGATCCTCAGATTGGCTTTGGCTAGGAGGACCCAGAACCCTAAAAATCTTCAGTGGTGGCAGTGAGGAGATGCTGTCTCCCAGCCAGAAGAAAAAGTGGATGCGGAGAAAAAGGACTTGGGAGGAAGTGTAGGCAGCATGGGTGGGAATGAATCCTCAGC